TGGACATAGAGCAAATATTTTATTGTTACTTTGTTCCTCAAGACAAACAAACAAACCCTAGCGTATTTACTATGAACTACCACATTCGTGTGAGTATAATCAGCATCCAAAAATAGCAATGAAAAAGCTATACGTTTTACAGCTAGGCCCATAGATCATCGGACTCGGCTCGCCTCCAGACAATAACGGAAAGTTCATCATGTCAGTCAATCAATCATGGCGTCTTCTCCATTGTTCGTTTTCCTCGCTGCCTGCACCACCTATCCTAATTCAAGCTATTCATCTCCAATATCTCATCCAATGTCAACGAGTCAAGTGAGTCTCTGTCTGCTTCTCGCTCTTCTTCTGTCGATTTCATTCATCAAAATCTTTGCCTCTTGATGTTTGCCAACCTTTCCTGAGATCTAATTATATGTGACGTTTCTTCCGTTTCCCACATATGTCCAGCAGCTGACCTCTTGTGTTTATACATCTAATACTTTCTCTTGACCTCTTGTATTTACACATCTAATACTTTATCTTGACCTCTTGTATTTACACATCTAATACTTTCTCTTGACCTCTTGTATTTACATATCTAATACTTTCTCTTGACCTCTTGTATTTACACATCTAATACTTTCTCTTGACCTCTTGTATTTACACATCTAATACTTTCTCTTGACCCCTTGTATTTACACATCTAATACTTTATCTTGACCCCTTGTATTTACACATCTAACAACATTCAATACTTTCCCATTAGTTTTTTCTCTGTGACTGATCTCATCATTCGTCTGTAACCCAAAATTTCAAATGCTTCCAACTTTCGTTTTGTTTTCACAAAGTAGTACTAATCATACATAGCCATTTTAATAGGTTTTTTAGATTACTTTTAAAGTCTGTTGGCATTGTTCATCCTTTAAAATTGTGTTACAAACTCCAGACCGATACTTAATCCCTAAAATTTCCATTTTCTTTACAAATACGGCACGAACCTCGTCTGTGCTTTAAGCATTTCCTTTTTTTTTTAAAAGCTTTTAATCGTTTCCTGAATATCCCTTTCCAATCTGGCTAGGCCAATGTTGATTGAATCTACCATATTTAGCTCTGATTTTCCTTCCACACTCTGCCAACCACTTTAGCATCCCCAGTTTCAAAATTTTTGTCGTCGTCCTTGCTTTTGGTGGTTTCATTGGAAGATAGGTTAGGTTTCTTATTAATGAGTTGCATGTAATGCCTTGTGTTCCTGCACATGTTTTGTTCAGATACCCATCAATTGATGCCCACACAAACGCATGATTTATTGTTACCTATTTACCTAACTTTCTGTTGCTCTCTTCTTTCATCCATCTTGTTTGTTAAAATCTCATCATTTATCCAGATTTTGTGTTTTGTAGTACTTTTTTCTAGGCTTGGTGGTTAGGCCAAGCGTGGTCTGTTGGCTAGACCTAGTGTGACCTGGTGGTTAGGCCTAGCATGATCGGATATTTAGGTCTGGTGATAGGTGTTTGGTGATAGGATTCAAACCGTAGACCCACAGGCTCCTGACCCCCATAATATAAAATAAAATAGTTTAAATATCGGCAAGTGTAGTTCAACTCAAATTAACATCGTGATTAAGTCTAACTCCAAGACTTTTAAGTTTTTTTTTTGTCATAACAAACCGCGTGATTACACGTTACAAAACTAATTACTTAACGTTTGTTTCATATTATCTGCCATAAATGTAGTAACCATATATCACCACTAGAGGATTTGTTTTTGCTTACATGAGGAATCTTGTGTTGGTGTTTTTATTTAAAAATCGCTCGTTTATATTAACATTTATTTAGAAGCCTGTGAACTAACATTTATAGAAATTGAAAATATACCTGAACCAAATATAAGGAGGAAAAAAATACATAAACGATAAACAAAATTGCAACTGAAATTGAAAAGGAAATTATTGCCTTACAACACGGCTGTTTAATTTTAAAATGGCACTTGTATACTGAAAATCTCACTAGTACCAAAAGTTGAAACATCGTAATATAATACGTTATATCGTATCGTATTTCTTGATGAAATTCACGATTGTTTATGATTTGTATATCAGACAAATGTAATGTTTTTCGAAATTCACTCTTATGGAAATTCGAGGATGCGCAGATTCGCACTTGTATTAAGTTGTAAAAAGTATAAGTTTAAAACTCCTCGAACTCGTCAGGCGACTCGTTAAGACGATATGGATCGTAGAAGTGTTACATATGTGGTTATGAAACCGTGGTACATTTAGCAGGCTTTACCTGGCAATTAGGCCTAACGTTGGATCTAAAATTAAAAATAATGGGTAGTGAGATTACACTTTTATGGTTTCGGATTGTGGGTATTGATAATGTTATTGTGTTTAAAATTCTTCGACGTGTCCTGTATCAATGATAATTAAAATGTTTAATATGTGGACGGTACAACTGATTCTTTTTTTGTTCGTAACAATTAAAATTAACGTTACTTGTGGCTGGGACACAGAAGATCTAGAATTATTTGATTTAGTCGAAGAAGTTAATCAAAACTTTTACGAAGTGCTCGGACTTGAACAGGTTGGTCATCATTTCAATTTTGAATAAAATTTCAGTATTTTAAAGTTAGGCTTACACTTACAAGTTATACGTAGCGTACGCTGTCACTAGATTATTAAAAGCTGGTTCTTAGTATAAGCTGTGACGTATTACTATTACAATATTGCCATTAGTACTGTTAGTCGGCATATGTAACGAATTTATCGATCGGAATTTACAGTTTGGAAACTTTCTGAGTCTGCTATATGGGTCGGATTATTAAGATTATAAAAGAATACATAACCTCAAATACTCAAATGCTTCAGTTTTTATCATGATGTAGAAAAGGTTTAGTTCATTTCTTTATAATTTATCGTAAACTTTCACATTCAGCTATCAGTTGTTAATTTCTATAGTTCATTAGTTGCACTTATTACAAGGTTTACCCTTATTCTTAACTTTGTATTTTATACAGATTATGTATTTGTAAGTTATTCAAACAAATGAGAGGACTTGCATATATTTTTGAGCAGAAATAATAAAATGAAAACAGGATATTTCAAATGTTTTGTTAGAGGTGATCTGGTATATCATGATCTAATTGTCTTGTAACTAGAACTTAAATTAGCTCAAAAACTTTGGGCCCAGTTCTTTCTTATGAAGACAAATGAAAATGAAACAAAAAGGTGATTAAAAGTGATCCAGACTTGAATAGTGGGATAGATCTTGATGTGGGTGCCTAACTTTTTTCAAATGGGGGAAGGGGGGGGGGCATGAGTAAGGAAGAACTGGCAAGTTAAGAGAGGTGATAAAATCTTTTTCTTATAAAGGATTCCGGATAGGGTAGCATGTGTTGTTTCTACCATCCAGATTAGGCACTTATAGATATTAGATATAAACATAAGTTCTGAAAGAAACACTGTTAATTCAACTTTATATCACTCAGTATATAAAACAACAACAACAAATATAGTGTATATAATGATTCATTTTATATAGTTTAACAAAATTCATTGTACTTCAGAAAGATGAAGCTCAATGAACTATTACAAATAAATACTAAATTATTTAGTCTAACATTAAACTATGAGCTTTACTTAAATTTATACCAAATAGTTTAACAAATTTACTGAAATTTACTGTTTGACAAAATTGTTGACTGTGCGGGAGAATATATGTTATATGTGTGTATATATAAAAATGGCTAAACATCAAAACCCATGTACTTACCCATCAAAACTATGAAAGTTTTCAAACTAACTACACATATTATATCATCTGGCAGACAATTTCAAAAATATTTAACAACTTCTCAAAGAACTAGTGTGTAAAGTCTCCCAGGCCTAATTTTCCAATTTGTATTTGTAATTTCATACTACCAGCAGAAAAGCTGTTGAACTTCGTAAGTTTTCAACACCTCAAACAATTCTTGTTTAATCCTTTTGTACTTGAGAAAGCTTAATTTGTAGCATGAATCATTTGAACAACATTTTAGGTATCATTATTTAATTGTTGATCAACTTGTCGGTATATTTCAGTAGTATGGGACCTAACACACACACACATCAGTTGAATTCTTAGTGTACAGAACAATCTGCTTTTTTCAGTGTAAATATATACTTACTAGTAATCATGCCTAAATCTTATACTTTTATCTCAATGCCAGTGTTTTTCTCATGTAGGAATTACACGTAAGGTATTTCAACATATCTGTATCTTAAGGATCACGACTTTATACACGTGTAATCTTATTATCGACGATTGTTTCTTTTGCTCTGGGCTCTTATTAATATAATTGTTTTAATAACTTCTGTGATTTTGTCTCTCATCCCATAATTTAATTTTACCTCACTTTAAAATCTTCTGCGATAATGTACTGGTTAATTGAGGCTTGGTATTACCAAGGGCACATTAATTGAGGCTTGGTATTACCAAGGGCATATTAATTGAGGCTTGGTATTACCAAGGGCATATTAATTGAGGCTTGGTATTACCAAGGGCATATTAATTGAGGCTTGGTATTACCAAGGGCACATTAATTGAGGCTTGGTATTACCAAGGGCACATTAATTGAGGCTTGGTATTACCAAGGGCATATTAATTGAGGCTTGGTATTACCAAGGGCACATTAATTGAGGCTTGGTATTACCAAGGGCATATTAATTGAGGCTTGGTATTACCAAGGGCACATTAATTGAGGCTTGGTATTACCAAGGGCATATCTTT